GGGTCACGAGCGGTACGCCGCCTGTATCGAGGCCGCCTCAGGTTCTCCCCTTGCGACGTTCCTCTGGGACCCGGTGTCTGGCCTCTATATGCTGGACACTACTTCCCCCCTGGGTGGACCGTCCTCCCCAGGTCCCGTGCCTACCCAATCGCCGATGCGTGCTCCTGTCGATCACTCACTCACCCGTCGCTTCTGTGGCACCACCGCCTAGGTCACCCCGCACTCCCAAGTCTCCGTCACATGTCCCAGCACGGTCTCGTCCTAGTTCTCCATGCGTCGCTTCCTGCCCTCCCTCCCTCGCCTGCGCCGCCGTGCATACCTTGCGTCGAGGGCCGGCTGCGCCCTGCTCCTCACTCCTCCTTGCTTCGTCCTACCACCGCACCCCTCCAGACCCTGCACCTGGACGTCTGGGGTCCAGCCCCCGTCCCTGGACCGTGCCGCGAGTGCTACTTTCTAGTGCTCGTGGACGACTATACGTGCTATACCACGCTGTTTCCTTTGGAGCGGAAGGCTGACGTGCCTGACGTTCTTATCTCGTGGGTCGTCGCTGCGCGCCTCCACTGCGGTCTCCCTGTGCTGTGTCTTCAATCCGACCGTGGCGACGAGTTTGCCTCCGTTCGGCTTGGACAGTTCTGTCCCGTGGAGGGCATCACCAAGTCGTACACCCTACCGGACTCCACGCAGCAGAATGGGGTCGTTGAGCAACGCATTGGTTTGGCCATGGAGGTGGCTCGTACCTCCATGATTCATGCCGATGCACCCCATTTTTTGTGGCCGTTCGCCGTTCGCTAAGCCGCTCACCAGCTTAACCTCTGGCGGCCGCATGTTTCACCAACCCTACTTTGGACCGGATTCCCTAGTGATGCATCCACCGTCCACGTCTGGGGCTGCCTAGCTCACGTTCGTGCCTCTGGCACGGACAAGCTCACTGCCCGCACTGTCCCCTGTGTCTTCCTCGGTTTCCCCCTGGACTCGTCTGACTGGGACTTTTACTACCCGCCTTCTCACCGCTTCTTTCACTCCTGTGATGCCACTTTCGACGAGTCTGACTCCTTTTACCACCGCTTTTCCCACCTCGTTCCCCTCTGGTTACTCCTCCTTTGTCTCCTGACTCGTCGCCTCCGTCTCACGTCAGGTCTCGCCGTCCCTCTCGTGCTCATCCTGTCTCTCCTGTTTCGCGTTCTCACCCTATGTTGCTTTATTCCCACGCGTCTCATCCTCCCCTCCTGCGTTCCCCTCTTCTGTCGTCGCTGCTGTTGCTGACTTCGTTTCTACCCGCCGCCTTAACTACGCCACCGCTCTGGTCTCTGACCCTGTCTGTCCTCCGTCCGTCGGGGGTGCTCCTGCCCTTGGCAGTGACGTCCTACAGGAAAGGCAGTACGAGCTTGCTCTCCTGTCGGAGACTGCTCCCCATCTCGGTTCCATGCTACTAGTCCCTAAGGGTGACCGAGACGCCTTTGACATCCCGACCCCTCGCACTTAAGCTGAGGCGACCTCGGGACTCTGGGCCTCTCAGTGGATAGCTGCCATGGAGCAAGAGATGGCATCTTGGAGATCCACTGGCACCTACATCGACGTAGTTCCTCCAGTGGCTCCTCCGGCACCTGGTTTACGGCCTGCAACAAGCGCATCGTGAGTGGCACCAAATGTTGCGTGCTACGCTTGCTGACCTGTAGTTCTTTCCGTCCTCTGCTGACCCCTCTCTCTTTGTTCGTGCTGGCTTGACTCTGTTTTACACCCTCGTCCACATGGACGACCGGGTCTTCGCTACTGTAGAGAGAGACGCGCTGGCCTGTGTGAAGGCCGAGCTGCTGAGGAGACACACCTGCACTGACCTAGGAGAGCTGTGCCGTTACCTTGGCCTGCAGATCTCCAGGGATAGAGCAGTGCACACCATCACTCTCACACAGTCACACTTGGTGCGCCAGGTCCTTCAGAGGTTCGGTCTTCAGTTCTCCTCCACACAGCCCATACCTCTGCCAGTAGACCACCGGCTCTCAGCTCCGGTTCCCGAGGAGTCAGCAGAGCCCAGTGATCCTTACGCACAGCTGGTGGTTTGCCTCATGTACCTGATGACTTGCACTCGTCCAGATCTCACATACCCTCTCAACATCCTGGCTTGCTTTGTGGCCACAGGCAGACACCGACCACAGCACTGGTCGGCCGCTAAGAGGGTTTTGCGCTATCTAGCGAGTACATTGGGCATGGGGCTAGTGCTGGGAGGATGCAGGCCAGGTGGTCCTTACTGGGCACACAGACACTTCTTGGGCAGACGACGCTGAGACCCTCAGGTCCTCCCAGGGCTACTGCTTTAGCCTTGGTTCGGGTGCTGTCTCGTGGAGGTCCACTTGCTCCTCGTCTGTTGCCCAGTCTAGCTATGAGGCTGAGATCTACGCCTGTGCCATAGCGGCACAGGAGCTCTGCTGGCTGACCTTCTTGCTCGCCGACTTAGGTGAGCGGCCTAGCTCTGCCCCAGTTATGTACGCTGACAACTAGGGCTATGATCCTCCTATGTCAGGAGGCTCGACTAGTGGGCAGAGCGAAGCACATCCAGCTGCGGTACTTCCTCCGGCGCGAGCTACAGCAGCGTCGCCATGCCCACATAGTACACTTGGCCTCCGGTGCCAACACAGCTGATATCTTTATTAAGGTGCTTGCGCCGAAAGATCATCAGCGGCACTGCTTGCAGCTTGGTCTGGTTCCTGTAGACTCTCACTTGCTAGGACTTTTATTGTGTACTCCTCTATATAAACCTCCTTCTAGACTAGTAGTGCCACCCAGGTTTGCTCTGGTCTTGTTTGTACTCTTGCTGACTGGTCTTCGGACCCTTGCCTCAGCAATTGGACTAGTAGTGCCACCCTGAGTTGCTCGTTTCTTGCTCAGCACTACCCCTGATCTAGCCTAGGGGGTGTGTCAACAAATACTGTACATATGTTAATATGTAGAAGTTATAGGCTAGATTGATGTATGTTCTTAGAGGGTACAACTCCAACCCTATATTTCCCTTGTTCACCCTTGCTTCTAATCATTTTCGTATTCTATCTATTCCTACGAACCTCTTCCCAGGCAGCCTCTTCCCAGACTCGCGCGCTACAATGCCACGAATTTTGACACCAAATTGTGACACGACCTCAGAGGAGTGTGCAGTGCAGTCGTCATAGCATATCATAGCTCCATATTACAGCGCACTAGATAGGGCAAATACATGGCAAGGGAACAAAGGTGCGCAGGCCATGCTAGTCATCGAAGCGAGGGAGGGAAGGGTGGGCAAGTTGGAACATAAAAATTCAAATGAGACTAGGTGGCAGGTCTGAAAGACCTGCCGATAGATGAAGGAGTTTGCCTCCTTTACAGCAAACTCCTCTTCTAGTCGAATCACAATCAGTGAATTATTTATTTAAAAAAAAAAATTCATATTGTTCAGTGCGGTTCCACGTATGATGCGAGGTTAGGCTTGCCGGGGTTCACGGGCGTGTTTTTTAATCGACTAAAGGGGCTTATATGCAAAATTTGATCATAGGCACCTCCCCATTTGGAGAGTAATTAGTTTTTCAAGCCAGTGTTATCTTGTACACGAAAAAAATCATTTCAAACGGCGGATCACAATGCTTTTGCCGAGTCCAATTCCCCTGCTTCCATGCGCACACGCAAAATCTAGCTCTCTGACAGCTCAAACTAGGTTTCGTGGCACTTGCGCACGCAAGCCAATGGTGAGCACGCGCTACCATTGAATTTGCGGACTCCAGCACACACAAAAGCAGCTTTCGCATTGGACGATCAGTCAACAAGCTTGGCGATATCTTCGGCCGAGCTCAAAATTCACACACGTCAGTGATTTCAATTGAGATCAAGAAACGATCAGTATTGTGCACCTAAATTTGTTTCCTTTAAATTATAACAAACTATGCATGAGTTAGGCCCTTGGGCTTATATTTAAAATTTTGATTATTGGCCCCACAGAGAAAAAAGTGTTTCGTCCTAAACGCCCCTAGCGGCGCCGATCCGAGGGGATTACGGTAGTCCGAGGAGAATTGTGCGTAGTGAAGTCCGATCCGACCTACGTTAAGTATCAGAAACTACAAAAATGTAGGCTTGATTCGTCACACTACAAAACATGCCATGCCCAAAACGCGACCCTGAAAAACATGGGTTCTCACATGGGCGACCCTGAGCAATCAGCCTCAATCTGAGGGCCTAGTATACTCCCACCCGCGGCGCTGCGCTGGTTTCAGTAACTGGGGCAGATCTTGCGAAGACACGAGAGCATTGGAAAAGGAACCATGAGCGACGCCGGAGTTCCCAGAGCAGTAGTACTCAGATATCTTCGTAGTGCGCTGGTCGACCGATCTAACCTAGCCTGATCACGCTAGGTCGGCGCTCCGCAGGTGTGTCCGGACGACGGGGCGGGACCGCGATTTTAGGTCGGCTCGGCGGTGGGTCTGCGCTTTCTGTGCCGGGGCATGCCTGTTTAATGGTGGCACCACGAGCATGTTTTGATAGCCATATTTCTCTCCCTGTCGTGGCCTTTTCCGTCACCGCCTGTGTTGTCGCTAGCACCTGTGCGACCTTTCTTCCTTCGTGCAGTGTTTTTTCCACGTGCTTTTGAGTGGTTGTACATTCCGGGCAGCTGCCCGTGCCGAAACGGATTGAGCGGGTTCGCCAGCTACACTTAGTCTTCTTTGATACCTAATACAACTTCTAGTTGGGCCAAACTTGAAGCAGGGTTTGCTATTTTAGCCTGGGGTCCTCTTTCCAGGCAAACATAATTTCAGACGCACGCGAATCCGTTCAATGCTTTTTCGACTCGAGCTGTTTTTATGTGTTTGAGAATGGTGGAACGCATATCTGATACGGGCTAGCAGTAATTATGCACGGGGTTTTTGGGAACACGCTCTCGAGGTATCGCGCGAATTAGGGAAGGGGTTGCCTGGGAAGAGGCTCGTAGGATCACGTTCTAACTCCTCTCAGGTACGAGCCTCTGTTGCGTCGTGAAGGGCAACAGACTTTGACCGTTGTCCGGCAAGTCAACTGTCAGAAGTCTAAGATCCCGACACGACAGCAAGGAAATGTATGTTGCGTGAGGTCTTAGCTAGGTAGTAGGAAAAGTGGCGAGAGAAAAGAGGGTGCCATACATTCCTCTTTCTATTAGCAACACCACTCCTCCCTTCGCCCTTCTCGCTCTCTCTCTCTCTCTCTCTCTCTCTCTCTCTCTCTCTCTCTCTCTCTCTCTCTCTCTCTCTCTCTCTCTCTCTCTCTCTCTCTCTCTCTCTATCTCTCTCTCTCACTCTCTCTCTATCTCTCTCTCTCTCTCTCTCTCTCTCTCTCTCTCTCTCTCTCTCTCTCTCTCTCTCTCTCTCTCTCTCTCTCTCTCTCTCTCTTTGTCTCTCACTCTCCCCCTCTCTCTCTATACCTCTTTCGCTCTCTCTCTACATCTCTCTTTCTACCTTCTCTCTCTCTCTCTCTCTCTCTCTCTCTCTCTCTCTCTCTCTCTCTCTCTCTCTCTCTCACTCTCCCTTCCTCTCTCTCTCTCTCCCTCCCTCCCTCCCTCCCTCCCTCCCTCCCTCCCTCCCTCCCTCCCTCCCTCCCTCCCTCCCTCCCTCCCTCTCCCTCTACCTCTCTCTCTTTCTCTTACCTTTCTTTCACCTCCGTTCTCGTTGCTTCTCATACTTATCACACCGTTCATAGTCATCCTCACCCTGTATTCTTTTTCCTCTTCTTTTATATTCTTCTTTTTTATTCTTCGTGGTTCAGGTCTTCTTTCGAAAATTCTGACAATTTCCGACCGTGGACTTTTACGGGAGACGGTTGCTATTTTGTTTAATTGCTTTCTTTGTGTTCCATGTTTTTGCTGCTAAATGTTTGTTTGTTTTTTTTTTGTTTTTTTTTCTTGAAATAATTTTCCTCGCTTTGTGCAATGCATTTTGTGTTTCTCAAAAAGTGGATTGTTCTCACCATTTCACATACGGTCCTTGACACGCTCTGTGAGTGTAGTCATTTGATCTGGAAGTGATGAGTGCAAACTACTTTTTGGAATTCACAAACCGTGTTGTTTAGACTCTATGCTATTGACTTTCCCCCCATGCTACCATCGGGGAAGCAATGATAAGTCCTATTTTTCTATAGCAAGAAAAAATACAGGGTTGTGGGAAACACGTTATCGACATTTTTTTTTTTATTAGTCCCTCAGTTTGTAATTTGGGCATCAACTGAAAATATGTCCACATATTTTCAATCTTTAGGTTAGATCACAATACACACTTTTCTTGCTAGCACTGGGGAAGGGATAACTCAGTTTTTCATCAAAAAAAAAAAAAAAACGCAAAACAAATACAAAGTTATGGAAAACAAATATGGTACATAGATTTGTTTTCCAATACGTATTACTGCGTATCTCTACCAAAAAATCAGCTACGATATTGCATATATGGTATGTATAATTATATGTCCGTGTGGTGTATTTACGTTTCATACGAAATGACAAAAATTATGTTTATTATTAAACAGATTGGAAAAAAATGGGTGAAAAAAGAACTTGTCCGACTGATTGCAATAGGTTGCTCCGCAACCCAAAAAAAAAATAAAAAAAAAATCTGGCGATCATCATGCTGCGACAGCATTTCCGTAAATCGATGTAACCAAGTAGGTTTCTGCTGCTGAAGATTCTGACTGTTGAAAAGTTTTCTTGTCAAAATTCCAGACGTACAGTCAGGTTGAGATCCGTATTGTGAGAGCTGGAAATTTCTGAAGAAAGTAAAAGTTGATCTGGGCGTATATATGCTTCCCTTCGTCAAATTCTTGTACTGAAGAAACGTGCGCTTCATCTGGTCCGCTGGTTCAATAATGATCCGATGGTCCAAACTGCAAGCGATATAAAAATATTCTTGAGATTTGTTCAGCTACGTCGAATGTCTGGGTCAACCCGTCTTCTGCGGCAGTTCGTCGTCGTCGATGTCCATTGTCGAATGTTCGGACGCGCGCGAACAATCCGCTGCTATCAAGGTGTCGTTTCCAAACCCGCTTAAATTCGAACTCCATTAGCTCAGGTTCGTTTCGCCTCGGACGATCTGAAGCGTCAAAATAAAATCGGACGGCTGACGTAGATTGTCGCTAGCGCAACTCCAAGATTCGTGGCGAAGTTGGAAATTCTTGGAAAACGTCGCAGGGTAAGTTCCACCAGCTACCGCCGATTGCTTCGGAGGGCAGAAAACTCTCAAGATTTTAATGCAGGTACTTCGGGGACGTCCTCTCATTGGCGAGGGTCGCTGACATATGCCCTCTGAAAAATCGGCTTCGTCGATGCGGAAAATCGAACGGTTGGCGATGCTGCTCGTCATAGATCGGGACCCTAGGTGCAAGTGCTCGAGGCTAGTAGGAACTTAGTAAGAAAAATGGATCTACTTACGCGATCGAAAGTTCGGCTCCATCTTTGGCGTACTCCTTGAGGCCTAGCGGCTAAGCGTTGATTGGAAACCTTGTGCTATGATTATCAAGTGTTACAGGTCCAGGATTTAGGGGAAGCTTGAATGATACTGATCAAGAATCGAATGTCTGCAAAGCAAAGAGTCAATGCAATTTGTACCTACGAGAACTCTACGGAAGGGAACTAGGACCTTCTAAACGAGTTTTATAAATGAGTGAAACCGTCTGTAGGAACATCATCTAGAAGCACGGTAGGGTTTCTAGAGACACGGTGATTGTGTCGGAACACTCCACGCAATAGAAAATGTGTCAATGAAAGGAAAGTCAAAAACACTCCGTAACACACATAATGTATAATATATCAATGTGTAGGAAAGAGTAAAGAGATTTCCAGAAAAGGAAAAGCACACAAAATAACACACAATAAATAGTAAATGGTTGAAATCAAGGATTCGGCAAGCCTCATCCCTCTCACACTCATCCCCACTTCATCTCCACCTTACTCCAACCTCACCCCACCTCACCCCCACCTCACACCCACCTCACCCTCATTTCACTATACTCTCACCTCGCTCTCTTTCTCCCATGCTGCTCTAGCATCCTGACGACCATATGTCTCCTTCCCCTTCTATAACCCTCCTCCCCTTCCCCTCCCCCACCCCTTTTCCTTTTTAATCCTCTTTTCCTTATACCAGAGGGAGATGGAGAGAGAGTGAGAGACACAGAAGGGCAAACATCATCACGTGTTCCCTCTTTACTTCTCTTCTCATCCCACGCCAGCTCCAAACCCTTGCGATACGGTGGAGTTCCCCACGTACAGGTAGTGCGTTGAAGGGGGCGAGAAAGGGGTGTGCGAGTGCTGGTAAGGCTACACTGAGAAGAACGGGGAGTGCATTGGTGAGCGAAACGCCGGCGCACTGGCACTGAGAAAGGAGTTGCCTTGAGGCTGCTCAGTGGTGGTTTAGGCTCCGAGGCGTCACACGTACATCACCCTGTCATCGGATCCCGCTACCCTCACTCTTACACAATGCTCACCGGACTGTCTTGCATGGACCTTCCTGTGGATCTTCCTTTCTCTCCTGCGGACCTTCCTTTCTCTTTTTCCTTCTAATTTCCCAATATTACTATCCCTTCTCTTTGTGTGCATTCTAGTGGGATACAAGCTATCACCTGTTCTTACCTCCTTCCTTACCTCTCCCTCCCCACATGCCAGCCCCAGCCCCTTGTGAAGTGAAGGAGTGTCTGGATGAGAACTCGCATTGTATTGAAAAGGAACATGAAGGGGTGTGCGGGTGTAAGGACGGCTACTCTATGAGTGTTAGGGGCATCTGCACTAGTGAGCTGAGAAGGTGACCTACTGGTTCTTGAGCCCTTGAGAGGCGTCTCACTTACTCATCACTGCATTTCCCAGCTACTTTTGTGATCACTGCAGCCCGCTCTACTCCCCGTCACCCCATTAGCCTTGCCTTGCCCACCTACTGTGCTGCACCCACCAGTGTATTCAATCATCCAGACCATTGTAGGCATAGTGTTTCCCCTGGCATCTAACCTCTTCAGACCACCTCAATTCCTTGCGTTATGCTCACTCGCTTCTCTTCTCCTCCTCACTGAATGCCAGTCCCAGACCCCTGTGCAGTGGTCGATTGCACGTATCCTGTGCATTGAGCTGTCAAGGGTCAGAAAGGTGTCTGCAATTATAGCGAGTGCCCTGATGACCAGAAACGGGAGGCTCTTGAACTTCGTGGGGGGGCACTCTGAGTGCAATGCCAACTACACTGAGGTCGAGGGCAGTTGCACTGGTGAGCGAACGGCGAGTGCATGGGTGAGGTGAAAAGGGGGGGCTTCTTAAGGTTGTCAAGCAGTTGTTGGGAGCTGGAGAGGCATCTCACCTACATCTCACTCTCGTCGCCTCTGCATCTCTCTCACCTCACACTCATTTCAGCCTCACACCTCTCTCTATCTACTCATTGTCTCTCACATCCTTCTGGTCCTTCCTCCTCCAAACTCAAGCCCAACTTTCCAGATCATGCGTCGTCCCTATGCTATATGCTCCCTCCCCATCTCGAATGCTCCTCTTCCTATGTGCATGCTCCTCTTCCTGTTTGCATGCTCCTCTTCCTATTTGCATGCCCCTCTTCCTATTTGCATGCTCTTCTGTACCGGTGCTCCTAATCCTATCTCTTGCTCCCTCCCTATCCTGAATGCTCCTGTGCTCCTCTGCCTCAATCAACATCTAGTGTGGCCAGCCACAGGACAGGAGAGTGGCAGTGCTGGGGTATCACTTCACATGTGGGCTGTGCGAGCTTCAATCTTCCCCCGGAAAGCTTCTTAGTGCTCTGGTTCTTGGGGTGTTAGATCATGTGCCCACCTTGCTAGGGGTTCTTCCTTGATTGCCTAGGGCTGTACGCATCATTAGGGCATAACCATGCTTATGGTCAGATGGAGAGCAAGTGCTGGGATTTGCATGTGCCATGCACCTTCCCTTTATACAGAATTGTGGGAGCTTCAGATTGCTATTGTAACGAATTCGACGAAGCGCTAGTCCATGCAGCATTTGTTGCTTTCAAGAAAATTAACCAGTGCTGGATACTGTCAACATATATATTCATATATATGTATATGTGTAGGCTAGGCAGGTGCATTAATCTAACTGGATCATACTGTAGAGAGGACAACCCACTTCTTGTACCTCTCTCTCTTGTAGTCGATCTCTTTTCTCTCGCCATTTTCTACTACCTACTGTAGCTAAACCTGTCGTAAGATGGTATGAGAGCAGGTTTATCCTGCTAGACCTTCTTCTCTCGCTTCCGCCGTGCACTCCTCCTCTCACTTTCGCGCCACCATGGCGGCCTCGTCGCGCTGCTGTGGTGGCGTCGCCGTGCTGCCGTGGCGGCTTCGATGCGCCAGCGCACAGACGGTTGCGGCCAGCACATTGATTTAGCATCAGCCACCACACCATGACCGCACGCCAGCTAGCTCGCCGGCCAGGGCGGCTTGCTAACCGGCAACGGCGCCATAGACTCGCCCCCCCTCCTTCGCATTTCCCCCTCTTCCCCGCCGCAGCTGGTGGCGGTCTCGTGCCGTCCTCTCCCGTCGATGCAGAGCATGCCACGCTGCCGGGTGCCTCAGGCTCCGCCCGCCGCCGCAGTCATCGACGCCACCGCAGGTGCTGCAAGTGTCAACATATATTTGTATATGTTATAGGCTACATAGGTGCATGCTCATAGAGAGTACAACTCCTTAGTACAAAACCACCCTGTATCACTCATTCTAGTTCATTGCATTATTATGAGATGGTATCATGCTAGGTTAGGTCCCCCTCCCCGCTTACGCTTCTACCCCTAGCCCTAGCCCTAGCCCTAGCCCTAGCCCGTGTCCTAGCCATGTCCTAGCCGTGCCCTAGCCCTAGCCGCGCCCGCGCCCTAGCTCTGTCCGCGCCGGCCCCGTCACTTCGCGCCCGCCCCGTCACTTCGCGCCGGCCCCATTAGTTCGTGCCGGCCCCGCTAGTTCGCGCCGGCCCCGTCTGTTCGCGCCAGCTCCGTCGCT